GTGAAGAGCACGGCCTGATTAAGCCACTGCAGCCCTGTTGTTCTGCAAGCTGGTCTGGTGGATTTGCTGTCTTTGGCCTCCGTATCCTCAAGAAGGAGGGAAGCAGGATGAGCCTGCCAAGCCTGGGCTCTCACTATGGCTCAGCCTTCCCACTGTTGCCCTCAGCACAAAGTGTTTCACGCAGTGGATTGCAACCCATCCTCAGAGTCAGGAGTGAGAATGGCCAAAGGCCAGCTGGTCTGGGTCCTGATTCTGACTGTACTGCAGGGTGACCTTGGGCAGACCCCACACTTGGTTCTCCCAGGGCATCAATGCAAGGAGAGGTGAGGCTCCAGGGACAAGAAGAGCCCCTTTAACTCCCAGAGCCCGTGATTCTAGAGCAACACACAGCTGGATCTCAGAGGCGTTTCTCCAGCCAGCCACTGAGGTGTGGGAGGACTCTCCAGGGCAGCTCCCCTCCTGTCCCACTTTCTGAACTAAAGCCCCCAGTGCTGAAGCCAGCCTAGAGCCCCCAAACACTCATTGCAGGGTAGAAGGACCTCTCTGAGCCCGTCTCAATTTGCTCCTACACGGAGGTTTGGAGAGGCCGGGCAGGGTAAGGCACCCCCAGGGGGCGGTGTGGGGCCCATGCACACTTCATGCTTGGGTCTGGAGAGGTAGCCAGTGGCTGCTTAAGATAGGGACAAGACACGGCCTGCTTCCCAGAGATCAGCTCACTTTGCTGTCAGCTCTGCTGCCTCCTGCACCTGGCCAGCTCCTTAGCAAGGGGAGTGGCCAGGCTAGCTCAGTTTCTGGCAGGCACATTTGTAAATAAGCAAAATTCTCCCAAGAAGCATCTCTATTCGCCAAGAAGGGCTAGGTGTTGGGGCCATGAGAGAAGGGGGTTTCTCCATTGGGGAATAAAGGGTTATTTTCATTCAACAATTATGAAAATAAAAATCAGGCAGTTGCTTCCATCCAGGCTCACCCCACTCGCCAGCCTGGATGTAAAGAGACACTGTCTGGGGGTTTGGGGTTTGGGAAGGAGTCAAGACTCAAACCTTGTCCAGGGCATCTCAGGTCTGAGTGAGGGCACTGAAGGTCACCACGAGGTGGGGAGGAATGTACTGAGCCTCTCTCTGTAAAAGGGCTTGGATGAAGCTCAAACTGGGGGTGATAGAAAGGGCTTTGAGGGACTTCCCTGGTGGTCCAGTGGCTAAGACTCTGCCTTCCCAATGCAGGGGGCCCGGGTTTGACCTTTGGTTGGGGAACTAGATCCCACATGCTGCAACTAAGAGTTCACATGCCACAACTAAAAGACCCCGCATGCCGCAACAAAGATTGCGCACGTGGCAACAAAGATCCTTCATGTAGCAACAAAGACCCGGTGCAGCCAAATAAATAAATAAATAAATAAATAAAATATGAAAAAAAGAGAAGAAAGGGCTTTGAGATAGCATGGGCAGGAGAGGGCTAGAGAGCGCTGCTCTTCCCCACCCCAGCTTCAACTCCTCAGGTATACAGAGGAGAGGATGGGAAACTGGCCAAATGGAAGTACAGAAACCTCAGACTGTACGCACCAAGATGTTACATTATTGCGTGCCAGTGCTGTGCCAGGCACTTACTAGGCACCAGGGTTACACATATAAATACAAGAGGATCCACGTGCTCAAAACAGGTTTAGCAAGGGAGGGGTCAGCATTTGAAATCGAGGTCTCTTGCCTACAACCTAGAACGTTCTTGGTAGTGGTGCGGGAGCGGGGCACAGCAGTCTGGCACAGTTTTTCACAAAGTAGGGGCTCATACTTCCTCCCTCACAGGCAGATAATCTAGGTAAAGGTGGTTAATCTATGTAAGCACTTATCATAGTACCTGGCATTAAGTTACAGCTCAATAAATGGTTGCTATTATTAGCTGTTATTATAAGAAGCCACAGAATAAACACGGCACATCTTCCCGGAGTGCTAATTTTACTCAATGATTAGGGGAAAAAGGACATTCTTTTTATATTAAAACAAACACTGTCATAAGCTGGAGTAGAACGCAAAGCTCACTTGGATTTTTGACATCAAACAAAGATTTCGGGCGTTCATTGCCCTGCCCCTCCTAATGACTTGCTCACCCCCCGTCGCTTGATGGACACAGGACTAGAAAAGCCCCTGCAGGGACTTCCCTGGCTGTCCAGTGGTTAGGACTCCGTGCTCTCACTGCCGAGGGCCCGGGGTTGGGTTCAATCCCTGGTTGGGGAACTAACATCCCACAAGCCACGCGGCATGGTCAAAAAAAAAGACCCTACACTTGAGTCAGGAAACCTGGGTTCCAACCTGGCTCTGCCAGTTACTACCTTGTGACCTTAGGCGCTGAATTCCTTGGGTTCTGTTTCCTCACTGGTACAAGAGGGTTAATTACACCTATATTCCAGATTGTGATAACAAACAAGATAATGTACGTGAATGTGCCTGGCAAAGTGCCTGGTCAATAATAGGTGATCAATAAATGTTAGGTGGATGATCAATAAATGTTAGGTGATCGGGGCCAAGGAGACAGAGCTAAAGGGACATGGTAGTTGGAATAGAAGTTACTATGTCACTGCTACTAAGCCTCCCAGGTTTTTATGGGGAAGGGAGTGAGGAACTGTGTCCTCACTCAGCAATGATTCCAGATGGCCATTCTGCACTGTGGTCTGTTATGGGAAGCCGATGATTTGGGAACCCAGCTTTGGCCCTGAATCATATACTAATTCCCCTTAAGCTCTTTTTCTATATCTTAGCATGTGAGTTTTCTAAGATACAGGCCCCTATTGGGCCCCCCCCACCCCAAGCCCAATAATTACCAATATTACTTATTACTCAATAAGTACTTGGCTCAGGGCATCTCATGTACTCAGGTTGCCATCTGTGCTTCATGCATGTTCTTCTTCTTTTTTTTTCTATTTTTTTAAAATGTTTTTTCTTTCATGAGTGTTCTTATAACTTTTCCATGAGTGTAGTCTGTATCCTTGGCAGCCTATAAACTACCCAATGACTTTTTGGAAGAACCTAAATACTGTAATATTGAATCATCTTACTAATCTGCCATTGATGGTCTTGCAGAAAATTGTGGAAAAAGAAAAAAGATTTTAACTGAGAAAGGTGAGGGCTATATCTTGATTATTCCTAATTTCCTTTCAACAACCCATTATGAATCTGTCTGCTGAGAATACATCTAAATTTTTTGGAACTTACTTAGGAGACACATTAGTATAATTACTTTTTATATTTTAAAATGGCAATATGGAGCAGATCATAGGTCTAAGAGTTCTTCCAATCTAGAATTTTAGTCTAGGCAGGGGGCTTGAAATATTATAATAATGTAATATTATTAAAAAAAGTTCCTTTATTGAGGGAACTATATGCCAGGTACTGGTCTATTTCACTTAATCCTCTCAAATGCCAGATGAGACGGGTACTGCTATTACCTCCCCAATTTTACAGATGAGAAAATTAAGGTGAAAACAAGTTTATCAGCTTGCCAACTTTATAAGACTAGTAAGTGGCAGTGCTGAAAATTGGAATCAAACTCTTCTTGTTCGTTATGGGGGCTTTCTCTAGTTGTGGTGAGCAGGGGCTAGTCTTCCTTGTGGCGAGCAGGCTTCTCATTGTGGTGGCTTCTCTTGTTGCGGAGCACGGGCTCTAAGGTGTGCGGCCTCAGTACCTCCATAGCATGTGGGATCTTCCCGGGCCTGGGATTGAACCCGTGTACCCTGCATTGGCAGGCAGATTCTCACACTGCGCCACCGGGGAATCCCCTATGGCTTCTACTCTTAACTACCTCACTATCCTACCTCATGCCATGCATAAGCCTCAAGGAGCTTTGAACTCATTTAGATGTATTTAAAGCCAAACCACAGGGGCCACTAACACTTGCTTACCTTTCTTATTTATTTATTTATTTATTTATTTGTTATTTATTTATATTTTTGGCTGCGTTGGGTCTTCGTTGTTGCGCGCGGGCTTTCTCTAGTTGCAGCGAGTGGGGGCTACTCTTCATTGTGGTGCATGGGCTTCTCATTGCGGTGGCTTCTCTTGTTGCAGAGCACGGGCTCTAGGCACTCAAGCTTTAGTAGTTTCGGCGCGCGGGCTCAGTAGTTGTGGCTCTCGGGCTCTAGAGCGCAGGCTCAACAGTTGTGGTGCACGGGCTTAGTTGCTCTGCGGCATGTGGGATCTTCCCGGACCAGGGCTCGAACCCGTGTCCCCTGCATTGGCAGGCGGACTCTTAATCACTGCGCCACCAGGGAAGCCCAACTTGCTTACCTTTCTGATCTTTCTCTGGGACTCCTTCACCAACCCCTTGACCAATCCCTGAGGGGTCATAACCTTCCAGGCTGTGCACGGAATTCCCTAACGCAATACACTCTAGATACACTCTCTATGTGGCCTTGCTTACAAGCTGCCTTGGAGCTGCTCTTACGCTATTTAATGTGTACAGTACATGTTTTGCCTCCCCAACTAGATTGTAAACACCTAGAGGACAGAAACTGTATCTTGTTCTTTCTGTATCCCTCTCAGTGCCTATGACTAGACTGGAGACGCCAGGGGAGCTCACTAAGTGTTGTTGACACTCTTCGGACCATCCTCCGTCCCACCTCGGCCACTCCCCTCTTCCTCGGTGACCACCCTGCTTCCTCCTCCTGGGTCCCCCACCCCTGCACGCTCCCTCTACTTTTATCCCCTCTGGCCCCGCCCGTCCTCGTGGAGTTCCACCGTTCCCACCACGTCCCCCGCCCCAGGCAGAATCTCCAGCGTCCCCTAGCGACAAGGCGGTAGCCCCTAGCAACCGCATCTCGGTTTCCTGACGACGACGGCACGTAAGGTTACGTCAGCGCGCCGTGGTTCCGCCCCCGGCGCCGGCTGGCCCCGCCTGCCCGCGCCTCTTTCGTCGCCGCCGCTGTTGCCGTTTCTGCTGCCGCTGCTGCTGCTGCCGCCGCTGCTGCCGCCGCCGCCGCCGCCGCCGCCGCCGCCCGAGACTCGCGCAGAGCAGTTATGGCGGATCCAGCAGCACCCGCGCCCGCAGTCCCGGCTCCCCCCCCGGGCCCAGACACGGGCCCCGGACGCAGCCCCCGCCCCGGCCCCGGCGCCCGCCCCGGACTCGGCCTCCGGGCCGTCCTCGGACTCCGGTCCCGAAGCCGGCTCGCAGCGGCTGCTGTTCTCTCACGACCTTGTGTCGGGCCGTTACCGCGGCTCGGTGCACTTCGGGCTGGTGCGCCTCATCCACGGCGAGGACTCGGACTCGGAGGGCGAAGAGGAGGGCCGCGGGAGCTCGGGCTGCTCCGAGGCGGGGGGCGCGGGCCACGAGGAGGGCCGGGCCAGCCCGCTGCGCCGCGGCTACGTGCGCGTCCAGTGGTACCCGGAGGGCGTCAAGCAGCACGTGAAGGAGACCAAGGTGCGGCTGGGCGGCGGGCCGGCGGGCGGGGGCCGGGGCCGGGGCCGGGGCCCGACGGAGGACCGAGTTGGCTGCTAGAGCCCTAGGGTAGGAGTGGAGACGTGCGGGTCGCTGCCCGGAATGGTGCAACTGCAGTGGGCCGAGGTGGGAGGACAAGCCTCAGCGGAGGGGACGCTCCGGTGCAAAGTCATTGCACCAGCCCTGGGCCACCGGGCCCCGGGCTTCCGCACACGGAGGACTTCCAAGCCGTACTAGGCTGCGGTGTCGGCCTCAAGATTGTGTATGTGGACCCACTCTAGTGGGGGGAACTCCTGGGGCTCTCGGGCACGCTCGGCTTTACACCGGTGCGGCGTTTTACTGACCCCCAAGGAGCTACATGCTGCATTGTGCATCCAGAAAGGAAGGCCGTGCCGGTCCGGTCCGTGCAGGGAGGGGTTGTGGCATTCCAAAACAAAGATAGAGGTGAAAATCGCGGCCGACATAAAACCCCAAGAAGTTCACTAGATTACAGAACGCGTTATTATGGGTGAAGAAAACCAACTCCTTTGTGTTTTACCTTGTTGCCTCGTTTTAATTGCTGCAGGGAACTTTGAGTAAATCATTAACAATCAGAGCTGTGATATTAATAGTACTGGGGGAGCAGGGAGGGATGTGACAGTTGCTGACTGGGATTGATGACTCTTAAGTACAGTTGGACTAATTGAAAAAGAAAAAAACTATAGAACTGTGGATGGAGGAGAGCCACCCATTTGGAAACCTGAAGGTTTTTTGTTTTTTTTTTTTAACCTGAGGCCATTAAGGAAACGTCAGACTCCCTTATGATGTTGGTGAATGTTGCAGTTTTACAAAACTGCAAAAAGCATTCATCATCATAAACCTGAAACTGAACCAAGGTTGGTTTGGTGGTTTTCATGACTTGTTTTCTTGAGTGTGAATTCTGTCAGTGATTCAGACAGACACACACGCCCCCTGTATTTTTCACCCCTTCTTCATCTCCTGCTCCTTCTCTCCTTCAAGAAAACATTTCGAACGCTTCTTAAAAATTACCACCAGTATTGCTGTGTTGGGAAGCAGGAATCAGGCCTGGGCTGGTTTAGCTGCCTGGGATGTTGAGTGGTGTGATTTCAGGGGAGGGCACTTTAGAAGTTAATCTGGGTTTCTCACACCCTGGGAGACAAAGGTGATCTGCACAAGGGGTCTGTGATGACAGCTCAGGCGGGGGAAAAAGGCCCCACTCCCAGGAAGAGCCTATGATCCATTTCCTAGTGGCAGAAGTGACTGCTGATGCCAGCAAGGTCTTTTTCCTGGCCAGTGCACGGGCATCCACAGACATAGAAATCTGCACACAGGACCCCTGGCTTCCCCTCAGAGAAATACAAATCAGGCGGTAGCTTCTCTGACTCAGAGAGAAAACGGTAAGTTCATGCAAAAGTATGTGGGAAAGATTACTTTTTGCAGCAGAACGCTTCTCAGAAATTACCACCAGTATTGCCGTGTTGGGAAGAGAAGATTTTTGCTCTTTACACTGTGTTTGTGCATTGTCACACTCGCAAATGGCCGCTAGCGTTTTCCTGTGGGGTCTTAAAAAATGTTTTTCCCTAACCATCTTCTCTAAAGGTTTGTGACTTTGGAACGGAACTCATTTTACTCTGTCATGGCCTCCTGCCCCGGGACTCAGGGAGGCAGGCCTAGCTCACTGCCGGGAGCTGCCATGTTTATCAGTTGTTGTTCCTGTTCATCTTGACGCTGGTGGTTAACTTTGTTTACAGTTATGTTCAGTCTGCCTCCCCCCACCATGTGTAATTATACGAAGTTTGACTTAAAATACCTATTTTGGAATTTAGTAGAAAATAGCTTCACGGCACCAGCTTGGATATATTTTGCAGCTGCCGTCTTGACTTGCTTTGAATTTGTTGAAATCCATCGTGGCTCCAGTGGTGATGTTTTCTTTGCCATTGTAGTTTCTGCAGCTTCTGAGCTTGGCAGAAGCTAAGGGATATAAGAATTCAAGGAAGTGGTGACATGTAGTGTCTATTCATGGATGCAGGACCCACTGCTACTTTTAGGATTTGAGAGTAGGCTTACTGGGGAGGGAGAGGCAAGTTTATACCTGATAGGTACCTCTCCGTTACCCTGAGCCATAGGCACAGATGACCCTGGTCAGCTGAATGTCTCTCTTGCTTTGCTCCTGACCACCCACTAGGGTGATGGGGTGGGTCCTGGGACCTTGCAGCATTGTGGTTTAGGAAGATTTTCCTTCTCACCTCCCACTCCTTATAAATCCATTGAGGTGACGGTGTGCCGTAAAGGAAAGACCATCAGACCGAGACTGAGCATTTAGGTTCTGATTCCTAGTCCACCACTAATCTGGTTATGAGATTTGAGAACCCAGTTATTGATAGAATAAAATAGTGACAATCTTGGGAAACTTATTTCTTTTTAAAGCTGCCACCTATTGGCATTTTGTAAGTAGTGTCCTGTTAGTGTGGATTGTTTCGTAGGCTGTGGAGTGTTTTTGTAGTTTTCATGTTAGTACAGTAGACAATGAGTAATCTTAGTCTCTTAATTTCTTTTAAGTTTTTAATGAACAAATTCAGAAAATTCAGAGAGAGAGAGATGAAGAGGCTGGCCAACAAGTCCTACCCCCTCCTGGCCACTACCATGAAAATTATCAACAGAAATAAAATAAGTAGTTCTTCCTAGAAACTGGAATTTATGGTCCAGCTCCTGAGGTCAAGCAGCCAAAGTTAAGCTTCTTTAGGACGTAAAAGAAGCACGCAGTTCGTGCTCCTTCCTTTCCTTGAGCTCCTGGCCCCTTCAGTGTGGTAGCTGATTTATCTACTTGAAACTTTTCCCATTTGGCCATGGATCTCCTATGCGGAGATTTGCCCCATCCCCATCAGCGGTCATCCTTTGAGTAAATGTTTGGAATAAAGCCAAATGCCGATAGCCTCTTTCCCCTTCTGAGCATTGGCTAGACATGGTGGGTCTTTCTGGTCTCCACGTGAGATGGTTGGACAGAGTGGCCCCTATAAGGAAGAGAGCTAACTGCTGTCTGTCTGTCCAGGTTTAGGGCCGTCCTGTTTACACTGCTTTAGCTTTCCTTTGCTTTCCCATCTCTTGTGCGTTGTCTTTTGCTCTCAGTTGCCACAACTTTCAGGGTCTTACCTGGTTTGAAATTTCATGTCTAAATTAAAGCTGTCTGTTCATGATCATCCTGCTTTTGTGAGATGTTGTGTGTGTGTGTGTGTGTGTGTGTGTGTGTAGCATCCCTGATGTCAGGAATTGGCTTTTCAGTCTATTTTTGTCTCCTACTCAGGCCATCATTTCCATGGGGAAAGCTATTTAAGTGTCGCATCACAGCGTGAGAAGTTTGCTTCCTTCGCTTGTCCAGGTGCTGGGCCCATTAAAAGCAGTTGTTCTTAGTGATGTAAGGTTAACCAAGATGCAGGACTAAGTGCATCTAATTGCATTTTATTCAGGTAGGATCACAGCGCTTGTGGCATCTCACCGTTGTTCGGTGATTTTAGTCTTCGCCCCTTGGCTTCTGGTTTCTAACTCCTAGGCCTCAGTGCCTTCGTGGTGCCTCTATCTGGCTCGCCACCTGACTCAAGGGCACTTTCACCAGATGAAGGGCGTGTGTTTGTGTCCTGTGATTGGAAGTCAAAACCCTTGGGTGCTCTTCCTGTCTGTCACCTACTCTGAATGACCTTGGCCTTGTCACTGCCTCATTTTGTCTCTCTGCAATAAAATACGAGGTCTGTCTTTCTAGCCCCTGAAATGAGCCTGCACAGGTGGAATAACCAGAAGTGTAGCCAGGTGGTGCCCATAGCAGCCACTTGGCTATTAGCAGACACCATCCTGATGTCCATCAGACAGAGCCAGCCCCGTCCCTTCAGGAGATCACGTCCATGTGTCATAGGGTGATGCCACTCGAAAGAGAAGCAAAAGGTACACCACAGGGGTTTGTTTCAGGGGTGTAGGAATTCCTATTTGATGATGTTGTTGCTTGTGACCTGGTGGATTATAGATTTGATTTCTTTATTAAGCCTCTTCTATAAATACTCGTGATCCTCACTCCTCTGTTACTTTGTAAGAAATTCAGTAGTGCACGTTTAAAGTAACGTCTGCCAAAGTCCGCCAACCTCCAGGAGGGGGAGGGAATGAATATGTATGTATGTATGTTATGTATATCTTCCAGAATCCAGGAGGCATCTTTTGAAATTCCCAGAAGACAGGTAATGAGATTATGAATTACAGGGATGACAGAATATTGCTTTTGTACTTAAAGATTACATAATGTTTGCTCTTCTCACTATTGTGGTACTATGTGCTGGGCACTCCATAAGTGCTTTATGTGTATTGCTCACTTAATGCTTACAGTACCCCTGTGAATTAGGTACTGTTATCATCCCTGTATTTCAGAGGAGGAAACTGAGGAACAGAGAAGTTGAGTAACTTGTCCAATGTCACACTGCTAATAAGTGGAGGAACCCAAATACAAATGGAAGTAAATATAGTTTGCTGTCATCTGAGGATTCATAGGTCGTTACTATATCGAGTTCCCTAATCAAACATGAGTCACAAACCCTGTGATTGGCATTAATCGTCCAGTCTTTGCACACTTAGAAGTCATAGTGGAGTAGGCGGGAAGCGCAGGTGAGGAGAAAGGGCAGGGCATCGGGATGGGTGGGAGGTGGAGGCGATCATGGCTGGGAGCAGGCGTGTGGGGGAAACGCCGTGTTGGCGCTGCAGGGCGCTTCTCTTCTACAGTTGTCAGTCCCTGGCCCCTCGGTCGTTATCAAAATAATGGTCAGAAAACACATTTTATTTCCGCAGAACTTGTGAACAGCCCTAGATGTTGAGTGTAAGGAACCTTTGTAAGTCTGATTCCCCACCTGCGTCTCCCGCGGCAGAGCAAGTCTGAGTAACTGGTCTTTCTATGTTGTCTTAGAAAAGGTTGGTGTTAGGAAATCCAGCTTGACCTCGTGCCCCCTCTC